AAATGGGCATTTTCTTTTTTATTGCATGTTCCCCTTTTCATTAGTTTGGAAGTTATACAGTCTAACTCTATTTCAGTATTTGCACTTGAAATTTGACTATGCATATTTAATAAAAATATGGGACTTCTGTGAACTTACATGTCATTTTTGTCCCTGGAACCATCAAAATTTTCCTATATTATTTAAATTTGCTAAACATGAAACTAAAGTGAGAAATTCCCCAGTAATTCTTTGTCTTCTCACTTCACCTTCCCTGAAAAAAAGAGGGAGAATATCTTCCTAGTCTTCCCACTTTTGCCCTGTCCGTGCTGATATCATCTATACACAACAGGATTCAGATTCCATAACTCCTGCAACTTTTGACAAGTTACCTGTTTTGAGTTTTAGTTACTAATCCACAATGTGGGGATAGCAAAACCAAGCTTATTGGAGTCTTTAAGAGAAACAAATTAGATAATATAGGTATAGCAGGTAAATGACTAATGCTCAATAAAATCATTATTTTATTCATTAAATATATTGATTTTATATTTTATATCATAACTTCATTTGATTAGTAACTCCTCTCTTCTCAAGGACATGCATATCTTTTTGTATGTCCGTGTTCACATTATATCCCATTCTGTCTCACTGAATTAGACTCCCAGAGCAGACACAGTAGTCTATTAAAGGCCTTTTCATATGGGGTTAGTGTGAAGGCTATCTCAGTCAAGTGAAAAGTAGTCCCTAGGGAACACCATTCTGTATGTTCTCATAATACTTTTGAATATAACATGCCATGGAATTAGTGAGCAGCAATAAATTATAACCTTAAAAAATATTATCCTCTTAACAGCCAAGAAGGACAGGACAACTTTAGTAAGCTTACGTAAATTAAAAACCATATAGTTTTTAACCTATGTGTTTGGACTTCAGTAAAAGCTAAGTGGAGAGCATTGCTCCAAATAGGTTTTCAAAAGGAGTTCATGAGATTTTAGTAGCTTTCTAAATTTGACCACGGATGCTTATACCTTTTAATTTAGGGGATCTGAAATGCTGGTTTCAAGTAGCATTTGTAAGAAGGTTATTTCTGGACCTTCTCCTGTGTAATGTATAAAATTAGCCTCCTTCTTTGGCAATTGAACCTCTTCGCTTCAAAGCTTCCCAACTCATCAGATTGTTATAAATGAAGACTAATTAACTGTTCTTCTGCTTTAAGTTTAAATCCTTTATTGGCACAGATGCCTAGAGGTCAAATTTGCGTGGCATGAGTCAAACAAATGATCAGCAGTATCACAATTACACTGAAGCACATAAAACTGGGGAAAAAAAAAAGAATTACCTCTTTATTATCACATTAAAACCAAAATGTAATTGTAAGTGTTGATCTTCAAAGATTCAACCCAAGGGTGAAAAAAAGGAAGTCCATTTAAAGCATGTTTCTCGGACCTTCACATTTCTTTCTTTTCCGAAGTTGAGCAGCTGCAATGGAAGCTGACAATACGTTTGCCTTGCACATGAGCAATGGAAAATATACCATGACTGCCAAGGTAGCTAGAACCCATGACATTAGTTAGGGAGGCCAATGCTGTTAAAAAGGATGCAGGGCTCCACTAAATAACAGTATAAAAAGACATGTCTGAGGACCTTACTGCCAGGGGCAGGCAGAGGAGTCCTTTGAAGACCAAAAGATACACAGAAGACCATGTTGTTCTCATTTATCAAGCAACTGGGAATATTACCGGCAGGAAAATGTTGAATGTGGGTATAGACAGGCAATATAACAAGGTTTTATTGTGTTGCTACTTTCAAAAAGTTTCACCAAAATGAGAAAATCGAGTCATTCTACAGCAAGGCCTCATGAAAAACCATCTAGGGGGCATTTGAGCAAGAGAATGCATGCAGACACTGTGCTTATCTTGCCTTTAGAAAGCTATACAGTGTGGGTGCTTTCTCTTTGATGCACTTTGAATTAATAATCATTTTAAATTATTCTTCGCAACAGCTTTGTGAGGCAAAACCATTTTGCAGGTAAGGAAATAAAGTTAGGGAAGATTTAAGAAATAATAATCATAATGTTTCCATTATCCATTGGGTATTGATGATACACCAGACATTAACATTGAGTCAGTGAATTGGAAAACATCATCTCACTAAATACAGACAACAATCACAGGGATAGGACAGATGATTTCAATATTAGAAGTTAGAAATGGAAACTCAGAGAAGTATAATAATTTCTCTCCAAGGACGAGTTGTGACGGAATGGCAGAGTCAGAATTTGAACACAAGCTTGCTGGATTCCAAAGTCTTCTCCTCTTTTTTAAAATCCTCTAATGAAAATTCTCTCCCAGTCCACTATATTTTTGAGTCAAGGAAACTCAAAAGGTGGCAAGTGTCCTATAATAAACAGCCCTGCTGGTTTCACAGCGATAATAGAGCTATCACTCAGATGTACCCACTGAGCCTAATGGGCTACACTGCTCCCAGAAACTAGTAACTCCGTAATGAGCTACAATCATTGCTGATGGACTGGTATTCAAACAAAAACCAGGATGGCCCCAACAGATCCCTTCCTTGTGGCTGCTAGCACAGTTACCACAGCCCATGGCGTGGCCTGCTATAGTGAGCTTTAGCCTCCTGCCTTGGTTGTGGTAGCTGATGTTGATATATATTTGTACCCAAGCCTCCATGTCTCTTTCAAGATGTGACAGAGGACAATACCCAGCTTAAAACATTTGCTTGGAACTCTAGGGCTCTTTATAGTCATTCACATTGCTCTTTCTCCAAGCTGCAAGCCTGTCCGCAGCACAACTGGTTGAAAGTAAGCTTCAGAGACTATGCTCCTTGAACCGCTCAATTCAGCAACAGCTCTTCCTACTCTCATGGTGATTTCTCAGAGACCATCTTGCCTGACTCTAGGCCTTAGAGACATTTGTTTCTCTAAAACAATGTTCTGAGAAATTCACCCGTAGACTGCAGTGGTGGTGAAATTTTTCTGCTATAGTCTCATCAGAGATGAAATGCAGTATCTCCTTTCTCTCTGGTCAGGGCCAGCATTATGTTCCTAAAGACTATTGATGTGGGGAGTTGATAACATTGTGTCTTGTAACGTTTCAGATGCCACATTTCAGAGCAAGTAGAGAATTTGAATCATGGTTCTACCGCTGTTTGATCTTGTTAAAGTTACAAAAGCATTTCATGCCTCAGTTTTTTGCATCTATCAAACAGAGATAATAATGGTACCTACTTCATAGGATTATGTGGAGGATTAAGTGACTTAAAACATACAAAGTGCTTAGAAAAGATTTTGCCTTATGATTCTTGGGCCTAGAGTCAGGGGAAGAAGGTCCCTAGGGGAAATCACCATGAAACTAGGAAGAGCTGGGTTTGGGTTAAGTGGTTCAGGGAGCATAGTCCTTGAAGCTTAGGTTCATTCAACCAGCTGTGCTGCAGGCAGGCTTGTGTCTTGGAGAAAGAGCAATGTGACTAGAGAGAAGCTTCATGAGGGTGTTTCTGCCATTCTGTCATAAAGGAGGCTGTATATTTCAAACATTAAGAACATTAGCCTGACTCTGAATGACTCTACATTCTGGAAAAGGAAGATAAAAAATTGTAATATAAGGGGCAGAAGCTAGATTGCCATGTGACCACCATGTGAGGTTGACTGCATGGTACCCATGTGAGCTGGGCCTTCAGGCGCTATGGCCTGAAAGGTTCCCGAGACTGAGCTTGGTATGCAAGGAGCTGAATGACAACAGAGCTAGAATTTAAAATAATCCATCCAGGTTTGAGCAAAAAACTACACCGTGGCCTGAGAACCTAGATCCTCCTTTAGTACTCTGGACTGTGTAAACCACTAAGATATTTTATGAGCAAAGATAGGGGAAGATAGTCCTTGAAATGGAAAATTGGCCAATGATAGATCTCTCATAATTTGGAGTGATAGCTAGACCTAGATTTGATTTATTCAAAGCAAACCAAAAAAAAAGGGCTATGACCTTTTCTGCTCTCAAATCTGTCAGTTACATACACCTTTTCTATTCTTTAGCTGCTTTGTAGGTATTAGGGATGACTGCAATGTTTGGACCATTTTGCCAAGCACACAGAGGCTCTATCATGAAATGCGGGAAGCAGGAAATGTACAAGCATTATAGGAGTGTGCCACGGCGGAGAAAGCCACTATTTACAGCCAAGTTTTCATTCCTAGTGATATAAAAAGCAGTGGGACATTTACTACTGATGACATAAGGAAGAGTCTTTATAAAGGTTTAGGACTCTCAGGGAGAGGTGTACTTCCCTTTTGAAAGGACATTTCTATCACTGTAGAGCATTGGCTTCTGTTATGCACATCTAATATGATGGGTGCTCCATGTGAAAGTCAGCACCTGTGACAACCTACTGAGGGACTGCTCAAAGACTACTGCTTCTAGGAATTCACTGAAAGCCTTGGAAAAGGTAGGAAATCTCCATTTTCAGGGTCAATTGACTTAGGTATAACTGCTTTTTTTTTTAATTCAGTCTCCGTAGAGACTGTCAAAAATTGCCAATGCCAACTATATTTCAAGTTGTCATGGCAGGGTATTGGGAAAAGTTTTCAGTTAGCAATAATCATGCCTTGAATAAACCTCATTGACTATGATACCGCCAGTACACAAAGCTGACTGCTTCAATTATCTGAAATAACATGTTTGAGTCTCCTCAGAATATCACAGTGGTTAAAGGGCAGGCTCTGGTGCTGAAGTACTTGGTTCAAATCCTTGCCCTACTGCTTACTGGCTATGAGACCTTGAGCAAGTTGTCTCGCTTCTCTATACCTCAGTTTCCCTCGTATTAAAAAGAAATAATAATAATCACTTAATTTCTATGAGGTTGAATCTATTATACACTGTAATCAATGAATACAATACACCTGTAATCAAACTGGCATGTAATAAGGACTTAAGAAATGTTGGCTATCAGTCTTATTCTCATATTTATACCCTGGAGAATGCCTGATGCAGTCACTTGTGGTCATGCAGGTATGCATACTTGGAGTCAAGCCCGTTGAATTCTTTGGTTTCTACATTGGATAAGCACGGGGGAGTCTCAGCTGGAGTTGAAACTCTGCTCACTACTAGACATTCTGGGTGACTGGTGGTGTGTGCTACCAGAGTCCATTGTATCAGAAGATAGAAGACCTTCCTGGAAGATCATTAAGGAATCATCTGAGATACAAGCTCACCTTGGGAAAAGAGCCATCAGGTACACAGCATAGTTGATTAACAGTGGCCAAGTCACTGAAAAGAAGGGGAAGGGTGATTTCAAATACATCAGGGGAGACTAGTTTGTTCTTCCTATATCCCCTTGTTATCTAATCCTTAAAAAATTAGGGGCTATTAGAAAATGCAAAAGCACTATTTTCATGAAAACCAGTACTAGATTGTCATGAGAAATCCTTAAGAAAATCCTTAATGTAATGGTTTTTCTTCCTCCCAGAATAAAAGATTGTGACCAAGTTTGTTAAGCAAAGGAAGCTTGGGAAATAACGGTCAGATTCCCACCAGCTGTCCATTGGGGAATCTGAATGTTTTACCATGGGCAGGAAACTTCCATTCCTTTCTTCTGGTAATGAAGAGAATCTGAAAGATTGCTGAGGACTAAAAGCAATAGAGGTGGATTGTGCTCACCCTGGCTGGTCAAAGTAAACTGAACAACCTCCTCTAAAGCTTGCAAGACTGATGACATTTCAGGATGGGCCTGGCTGACACATTCAAATTTCAAAATTCTTCTCTTTGGTTGAACGTTTTCCTTTTTCCCTTTCCATGTGTTTTTACATGGGGATCTTTTCCTCTAGCCCAAGTAAATTATGATACCCGAGTCCTCTGAATACAACTGTGGTTACGGTTTTGCTTTTGGACTGTATTTCAAATAGGTTCTTACTTCCAAAGGCACAGCTAACAGTACTCTTCTCCACTCAGACTTCTACTCTGCTCCAGCCTCCCCTCTATGCTTTCCCTTCAAGAGAGGTGAGGTTTTGTTCACAAAGCCCTGTTTTAAAATAGAGACATTCATCTTAAGGATAATACACTCCACCTCTCCAAAAAGAATGAGGCAAAGAAACAGCTACTGTTAGAATGAGAACAGGAAACGGAAGCTACACACCATATCTGCTCCAGGCATGGATCTGGCTTCCATTGAACTCTGGCCTGCTTTTGCATTGTGACTGGCCAGGGGACCAGAAACCAAAGGTGGCCTGGTCAGGATGCAGCCATGAATAGAGTGGGCATAGATCATTTACAGAAGATTAGCTCACAATATCCCTGGAAATAAAGAAGTCTAATAGGGTCTGGGGTCAGAAAGCCTTCACCTTGGTTACCCTCTAGAGCTTTGGGTTTTGTCTCAGCCATATTCCTTGATTGTTAATTTTCTAAAATCCAATAAAATCTCTTCTTCTGATGATTTACCGATGAATTTCTCTACAGGCCACCTCCCTGGGAGCTACTGAGAACTACCACATATCAAAGCTATTGAATTATACATCCTTTACACAGAATGCTTCAATGTATTGTTAAATGTCTTGACAGTGGCCCTGTTTATCCGATATCGCTAATCTGACTTAATCTAGCCAAACCTCCCAAATAACGTCTGCTAGGCGCCACAAACGCAAAGGAACTCTCTTTCCCTTTCTAACTACAAAGCTTGCTGCTTAATTGTACAAATATTTGTGGGTTTGGCAAAGGTGAATGCTAATTTGTTGTTTTAGTATAAAGCTGAAAAGGTTAGGAGAGTGCTAAGAAAATAGGACCTACATGCATGTGATGTGCTAAATTCTTGGGAGAAGCTGAGACTCTGCAAATAGGACTCTGCAAGTAAAAGCTTGCAAAAAATCTGACAGGAAACATTTTTGGTAGTCATCAGATACACAGAAGAGGCAACAGAGCAAACAGGGAAGAACTGGCCCTACGGGTAAAAAGGAACGTTTTTCTCTTTATAGATGTGGCTTGCCTTCATTTGGTTGCTTACTGCATTTGATTTTTACTTTAGAAATTGGTTTAGGGATTATAAGGGAGGGAATGATTTAATGAGTCATAATGCTTCAGCCTGGAAATTAGAATATTCAACAATGAGAGATAAACAAATAATTAAAATTACAAATGCGCCTTTCTTTATGCATCTCTAAAATAGGTGTAGTGTCCTGTTAGGAAGATGAATTAGCTAATGATTAGGAATCACTTAGAGACCCTCAGGTGAAAGTTTTATTGCCTTACTGGATTTATTTGTCGGAGTTAAATGTTCTGTGGTCTAAGGCAGTGCTTCTCAAACTTCAACGTGCATACAAAACCCAGGGGGCTCTTGTTAAAATGTGGATTCTGATTCAGTAGGTTTAAGGTATTGCACAAGAGATTGCATTTCTGGTCAGCTCAATCGGCCAGACCACACTTTGAACAAGGATCTAAAATCTCTGTTTCTCAAAGCTGGCTGTAAATTGGAATCAGCTGTTCATCTTTGTAAAAACTTTTCAGTTTCCAATTTAATTAGCACAGGGCCTTTGCTGGGCATCAGGATTTTCTAAGTCCCTCTGTTTCTTGAATCAAACGTGCATTCAAGTGTAAGAACCACCCTGGTCTAAGGAGCTGGTATTCTGGGCCAGTCTAAAAGGTTGTGGTGAGGATTAAATGAGATAATGCAGCAAGGTACTTAGCTCAGCCCGTCATATAATGTCCTCAATAAACCTTAATTGTTATAGGCAGCCTTGGCTGTGACAAGAGATACCACCCAAGGTGCAGACAACACTAACTCACAGAATATCAGGCAGATGTCAAGGATATTGGCAGACATCAAGGTCAGCAGTAGGGCAGGGGAACCTTTGGCCCATAGTAGCTGCTGCACAGCAGGTATCTCTGTGTAAGCAGAACAAGAGACAAGATGGGACAGCTTGTGAAGCTGCGTGTCATGGCCTCTGTGTGAACTTGATAAGGACCCCTAAAAGGGTGGTTCACACTATGGAAAACAATATGTCAGGTCCTCAAAAAATGAAAAATAGAATCACCATGTGATGCAGCAATTCTACTTCTGAGGATATACCCAAAGGAATTGAAAACAGGGTCTTGAGGAAGTATTTGTACATCCATGTTGATAACAGCATTATTCACAATAGCCAAGAAGTGGAAGCAACCCAAGTGTTCATTGACAGATAAATGGATAAACAAAATGTGACGTATATGCACAATGGCATAGTATTCAGCCTTTAATAGGAAGGGAATTCTGACACATGCTGCAACATGGATGAATCTTGAGGACATTATGCTAAATCAAATAAACCAGTCATAAAGGACCAATAGTGTATAATTCAACTTATATGAGGTACCCATATTAGTCAAATTCAGAGGGACTGAAAGAATGGTGGTTGGCAGGGGATGGGGAGAGACAGGAGTGAGAAGTTTGTGTTTACTGGGTACAGAGTTTCAGTTTTACAAGATGAAAAATGTTTTGGAGGTTGGCCGCATAACCATGTCGATGTACTTTTAACGCCACTTGACTGTACACTTAAAAACAGTTAAGATGGAAAACTCTATGTTATGCATATTTTACTATAATTTTTAAAAATAATATATGGTATATTTTAAAATAACTAGAAACGTAGATTTGGAATATTCCCAATGCAAAGAAATGATAAATGTTTGAGGTGGTGGAAATCCCAGTTACTCTGATTTGATCATTACACATTGTATGCTTGTATCAAAATATCACATCTCCCCATAAATATGTACAATTATTACAATTATTATGTGTACATAAAACTAAAAAGAAAAGAAAACTTTTTTAAAAATATGTGACTCAAGTGTCCTCAGAATGAGTGAACAAGGAATCAGAAAAACGCAGGCTGTTATATAACTTGGCTTTTCCTGTAGACCTCTAGGATATGGAAATTTCTAGGTCCATAAGAAGAATGTTTGCAAGTAGGATGGCTGGGCTATTAAAATGATAACTTTATCAACAAAGTAACAGTTGAGAACTTACTGTGTGGCAGACACTGTGCTAATCACTTTGTATTCATTATTTCCATTTACTTTCATTTTAACTCTGTGTAGTAGGTTCAAGTATTATCCCATTTCCATTTGAGGAAAGAGGCTGAGGGAGTGCAAGTTTTCTAAGAAAGCAAGAGCTGGTCTTCTAATTGAAGCTAAAATTATGCTCTTAACTACTGCATTATCCTATGCATATAATATACTACTAGTGAACAATTCTTTATTTTCCAGTCCTAAAGACTCATATTACATATTGGTTAGAATATGAGACCTACTTAGCATCTACCACAGGAAAAGACTGGTGGCTAAATTACTCAGCTGTTTAGAAAGATTGAAGACTTTTTCACAAAAGAGAAGAAGCGTTTGGATTACAACACGAATGTGTGTAGAAGCACTATGACTTCCAAAAAGTCTTCATGTTGTAATATGTTACTAGAGATCTCTTCAATTAAAAAAAATCTAGGCAATGGTATTTTGGGGTAGACTAAGTGACCCCTTAGCTTTGACTTTTTATATAGATTTACACTACCTAAAGACTAAAAGTAAATTTGAAGTTAATTATTTTCTTAAATGCTTCATTTAAAGACACAAGCCTTATTGAATATCTTATGAAATGATATGGGGACAAGTAAATATATATAAATACACACACACACACAAATAAGGGAACCACTGTAATTATGAACAAAACATAAGGAAAGATAAGTCCCTGTCTTTGAGAACAGTTTGAGGAGATGGCAGCATATCTCCATGGCATTACTCAAAGGCAGGGCTTCACAAGGTGATCTGTTACCTCTTTGTTTACTTCTTACTATGTGCTAGACACTTTTGCTAGGTGGTTTGTATATCTTATTTCATCCGACCCTCACAACCACTCCACAAACTAAATATTATGATCCCGAGTGTACAGGTGAGAAAACTGAGGCCCAGAGAGTTTGAGTGACTTGCCCAAAGTCACACATCTAGTCAATAGCTGAGCCAGGACTGAGATCCAGGTCTTTCAACTCCTAAACCTCTGTGCCTCCAGGAATGCTGTGCCAGAAAAGACTTGGAACACACATCACAGAGGGATAAGGCAGCATTTTAGCAGGCAGAGTGAGCGCTTACAAAAAGTAATGTCAAGGACCTTGGGATAATGTACCTGTCTGTGTACTTCCCTCACCTCCATTGTATGTCGCCTTCCATTTGTGTCACATTCTACATTATTAGTAGTTGTTGGGATATTGCATTATG